CACACACACACACACACACACACAAACAAGGACCCGAGGTTGATGGAGCTTGACCGCCCACAGGGGCAAGAAAGTTATAAGTACTAGCTATTGATTACTCTTAAATAAGATCATGAAATGTTCTTTCCATAGGTTTGACTGAACATGAGATCCTTTCCCAGGCCTTGGTCTTCATCTTTGGAGGCTACGAGACCACCAGTACCACTCTTACTAACATCCTTTATAATCTGGCCACCCACCCTGATGCGTTGCAGACCTTGCACAAAGAAATTGATGCTAACCTGAAGAAAGATGTACAGTAATTCATCACATAATTTGTTGCCATTCTCGATTCAATGGTGGACACCATTTGCATATTTTATTTTTATGTTTGCCTTCTTCTTTATATTTTCCCTAGGCACCCATTTCATATGAAGAACTGACCGGTCTACAGTACCTGGACCAAGTTATACTTGAATCAATGCGACTGATTCCCACTGCCCCTCGAATTGACAGGGTGTGCAAAAAAACTGTGCAAGTGAATGGACTCACCATCCCTGAAGGAACCACAATTGGGATTCCTGCATGGGTGTTACACAAAGACCCACGCTACTGGGACTCCCCTGAGCTTTTTAGACCAGAGAGGTAAATGTGCATGTAGGTGTGTCATCACAAGGTTATGAAGAACCTGGTCATCCTGTAATTAGTGAAACCTGGTCTCCAAAAGTTGATTCTGTTCATCTGGACGTAGCGTTTTCTGGGAGATCACAAATATATGTCCGTTATTAGTGAAACCTGGGACATTATGCTTTGCTTTATCTTTGGTAGATCAATGAGGTGCCATATGTAGGTCCCTTCACTGATGTTCTCAGTGGTTCAATTGAGTGACAGCCAGATACGCATCCCAAAACCTCTGCAGTGTTGTCTGCAGCTGTCTGTTTTGAGTCATTACTTTTCTGGAAGCTGGCTGGTTCCCTGAGACTGAGAGTGCTGCACTGTGGGACTGGTTTTCTTCAATGCTTTTTATCTAGTGTAGCTTCCACCTAAGTACTGCTTTGATCATAGGTTTTTCCCTGCTGTAAGATCTGACTGGCCAATGGGTTCCTAATCCCTTACCAAAGCTTTAGAAGTAATAGACCTATGCCCTCCCTACTCTTTACGTTGTAGGTCTACAGACTGCCTAAAAATCATGGCTCAATACAAAAAGAATTATTTCACTTTACATATCTACAAGTTTGTTTGATCTGTATCTGCAGGTTCAGTAAAGACAACATGGAGGAGGTGAACCCATACGCGTACATGCCATTTGGACTCGGCCCTCGTAACTGCGTTGGGATGCGCTACGCCCTCCTCGTCATGAAGATGGTTATTGTCTGTCTCTTGCAGAAGTACACTTTGGAAACATGCAAAGAGACAATGGTGAGAGCAGCAAAAAAAACCATTCAGACTGTCATGGTACTCTGCTGTCCTGTCACTGATGTTACATCCATTTCTTTTCTTCTTTTTTTTTTAGATTCCACTTCGGTTTAACTGGAAGTTTCAGCCAGTTCAGCCTATAAAACTCAAGATTGTTCCCAGAAACAAATAGTCTAAGAGGGAACATCTCCATCCTATCAAAAAAAAATCCTATCAAACATTTTATTGTATGATTTTCTTTTAATGTGAGGCAAGTGTTGCCATAAGGGCATTCATCGTTTTTCTGCTGCTTAACTGTAAAATGTTAAATCAGTGCAGTTTAAATATTTGAATTTTCTTGCAATATTAATAAATCAAATGTATTTTAATTACTTTTCTTTAAATTGTGTTGAACTTTTTTCAAAAAGCTAACTTTACTAATGGTTTACTGTATGAATTTCCTGATAACCATCTTTGATTTGTGCAAACATATTATTCTGTGACACTTGATCTTTAGGTTTGCCTTTGTTAATTTTGTCTTGTTTTCTGTCATGCATGAGCTTTATACAAATGGATAAATAAAATTACAGTTTGAAATCTAGAGACTTATCAGAATATCTCTTGGGACAGTTAAGTCCATGAAATAAGCTGCTGGCAGCTATACACGTCTCATTGATGGCTGTAGTCTTATTATTGGTTTTACCATCACAGCTAGTCAGGTTTCCAAAGGCATAGGGTCTTGTGGGCTAGTCAGAGCGGACACTCCATTTTCCCTCCTGCATCCAGTCTTGAGTGTTGTAGACCGATAGCCTCTCTGGCTCTCGGGCATGAATGTTCACATCTTACAAAGCCCGGACCTAGTTAGCATGTAAATATACACATTCATTAATGTTTTTTACATTTTTTACAGTGTTGTGGTCAGAATATTGGGCTGCTCCACCTCCTCTGGGGGTGTCTTAAAGAGTTAACAGAGTGGAGAGACTGTCAAGATACAATAGAGAATGTTTGGTTATGTTGTAATCTTGGTTGTCTCAGTGAGAGACTCTCTCCAGCTCTAGGGCCACTTGGAGAACGTTATAATCAAACTATCAGTGATTTCCACGAGCACAGATGTTTTATGCCTAAGTTTTTGGGTGTGGCCGGGTAAGACGGGGATCATTCTACAAACATATGGAATATGAAGGACCTTTTAGGTTTGGATTTTTTTCCACCCTTAATAATAAACACCTTCATTTAGACGTTTTGTATACATGTTGTGTTCAATTTTATTATCTTTGTCTAAAATTTACATTTGTTTGATGATCTGAAACATTTAAGTGCAACAAACATCCGAAACAAAATATGGTAGGATCTGCCCTGTTAAGAGGGAGTTTTTCGTTCCCACCGTCTCCAAAGCACTTGTTCAGGGCTGGGTCGTATGATTATTGAGGTTTTCTCGCTTTTCTTTGTATTTTTTTTAATTATTATCTTACAATATAAAGCACCTTGAGGCAGCTGTTGTTGTGATTTGACGCTTTATAAATGAAATTAAATTGAATTGTGTAAATTTTAAAATAAAAGAAATGATTTAATTAATAATCTCAAAGCAGGAACAATTACTTAATGATGAATACTGTGAAATGTTTCTGGATAACTTCAGAATTAGGTTGTAGTGCAGGGAGAGACTTGGCTAAGAAACCAACTGAGAAGCTGGGAAAATAATATTTATTTGATGATGAAAGCATAGAAATTAACTGAGAAACTAAGACCAGATTCAAGCTGGGGTCATTGTATGTCATGCTGGATTCTCAACTCACTGGCCAAACAAGAAAAACAGACATGTTACCCAGAATTGGAAATGTTTACACATTTCAATGTAATTAAAGTCGCAAACCCTGTGCCTACTCCTTTGCTAATCTTTATACTCCCTAGGATATATCGTTGTTCTTTAGTTTGGACAATAACACGCCAGCAAAACTCTAATGCATAGTAGAATTAGATAAATCGCACTGCAATTATGGATCACGTCATCAGAGCGATAAACATGTTAAGTAAAACACAACAAAAGTACTGAAGAGAGTAATGTTTGCACACTTCCACAAAGCTGTGAGAGAAGAATTACAGCAGCCTATGTCAGGGACATTACATCAGCTTCTGCAGGACCTCCTTGGTTTTTGTAGAAAAAAGGTGGGTCTCAAACAACTGCTGAGCATGCGCAGGAGTAATAGCCCCGAAGAAAAATTCACAAGACTTATATGTTAAAAGTCGATTAGAGACAAACTAGACCGGACGGCAACCGTGGAAAGTGAGAAAATAATTATTGGGAGGATAGTGGAGAACTTCGTTATTACCGGGAAGTATTAAAACAGATCAAAACGAAAGTTGATTTTCAAACCAAGGACACCCTAAAGCGGATCATTTCATGCAGCAGAAATAGCAGACACATTAGAAATCGTTGATGGTTAAAGTATTTTATTCGGACTTACGCAAAACTAAAAACGTTTTAAAAGCGTCCTTTTTACAGCTTATTACGTAAACACATTTTTGTCTCATACGCTCCTCCCACCACACGACGTCTTCTTAGGTTCGCTGGTTTTCCAGCCTTCAGCTCAGTGTTGCCAACTCCTCAGTAAGGAAAGTCGCTATTGGCTGTCCTAAAAGTCGCTAGAAGTCGCTAAATGACGTCATCGCCTAATTTGCATAATTGGTCATGCTAATGTAATTATAACCTA